TCTGAAATTTGCGTCAATTGTCCATCAGACATTCATCTAATTCACTACTTAAAAGGATCATTATTTATAGTTTTATCTATTGAAGAAAAACGTTCAGAAAAAAGTGTGCTTTTTCTCAAAATTATTCCAAATATTCCACCACATGATGTTATAAATATCTAGTTCTCAAAATAAATCGCGATTTATTTTTTGAATATTTTTGTTTATAAACTTTCAGAGTTGCCTTTGCATTGTTTGCTTCATGTTTGACGACGAAATGTCTTCACTTTGTTTTTGTTTGATTCTATTAGAGCATATATTAAAGGAATTACACTTACTAATCCGGACGATCCACACCTCCAGCTTGGTGATTTAGTAGTAAGAGTCGCTAGTAGCAAAGAGTCTGTGGGTGGTACAAAATGCTCTCGAGTACATTAAACCGTATAGAAGAAAACCTACTATCAAAGACCTTAAATTTTGTCTGACGGCTGTGACTCCTCCATAACTATCGACTTACGTCGAGTTTTGTATTTTACAGCTACCACTTCTTATTTCATCTGCCCTTTGTGCCATTGCTTACGCTTTGATAGCACTGCCAACACAAATACCCCCTCAAATTAATGTTGCGAATATCGCTCAGTATGGTATTAAAAACGTTTTAGAGAGGGATATTCGGAACCTTTTAATCGTTATAGCAGAAACTACGAACGCAACCGAGAAAACAAACTAAAATTTCCATATCAAAAGGTTACTTACTTCTTAAACTAACCACTTCTACTACTAAACTAACTACTTCTAAACAATATCATTGAGATCCTGATCCATTCCATGACTTACTATAATGCAAAGTGTTGGAGTAGTGTGATAACCCGCGTGGCTGGAAAATTTTTTAAAATTCATACACCAACAATGATTATGAGTAATTTCGTGCGACTTTCAAAGCGAACTATCGTGGCCAATAGGGTCATAATGTATCATTTAGATTCTTTTCAGTGATAAGGTATGTTAGGAACATGGGAGGTATTCGGGTCCCCTATGCTATTTACATTTACATTTCCACAGAATGGATCATCACCATGTCCTCTTAAATCTCGCAAGTGATCAATACCAACGTTATTACAGTGCGAGAATATTGTGCCTAAGCCCTGCTCCGAAGACATTTAGTCAATTTTCGAACCGAAGGGCCAATAATAACGCGCGATCGAGACCCCCCCCTCTACCCCTGCGTCAAGTTCATAAGCGAGGCCCCCGCGGCGCCGCGGTCGCCCTAACCTTCCGCAAGCGGCGCAGAGGGCCGGGGCGGGCGGGGGGGCGGGGCAGGGCCGGCGGTAGGGCGCGTTGGGGGGCGGACGGGCCCAGGAGGGGCTGCGCGGGGGCGGGGCTGAAGGCAGGGCACGCGCTGGTGGGTATCGACCGCCGGTGTCGTTGACCGCTGGCCGCCGTCGCCGCCGCCGCCGCATGCATATTGCATCGCCTCTGCCTGTCCGCCAGCCCTTCCGTCCGTGACCGCCCGGCGACCGGCCCGCGCTCCGGCGCCGGCGCCAGGCGTAACGCGACTTCCGGCCCTCCCGCGACGCGGCCGAAGCAAGGCGACAGCCGCGCGGGCCCTTCCGGCGCTAACGAGGTTCTCAAAGGCGGCGAGACAAGTGGCTGAACGTCTAAAAACATGGATGTCAACTCAACTTTCTTCCTCTGTCTAACTCTTCTCTTTCATCTTGTTCGCTCATCCGTACTCTCTTGGTACTCAATCGTCTGGACGCTCTGGGTAAATCAGTTTCCAGGAATCAAATCGAGATCTTCCAAAAACCTACTATATCCTCCGTAACTAGCTGAATAACATGTTGAAATATTCCATAGTTGAAGTGTATTTTGTGCTTCAGATGTTTTATATATTTTTCGGGCGGGCCCTTGCTGGGTACGCTTTGTTGCGAGTTTCTATTTTTTAAGCATTACACATTGAAATATAAGTTCGAAATATGAGTTAAAAAATCCTATAACTTAAACTATTGAAAGACATAATTTTGTCTAACAAGGACAATAACAACTATTAAAGAAGAAGTGTTTTATATATTTTTCGGAAGGGTCCTTGCTGGGTACCCTAAGCTGCTAGTTTCTATTTTTGAAGCATTATACACATTTGATGAAATATAATCTTTAAAAAAATTATAAACCTTACGCTATTGAAAGACATAATTTTGTCTAACAAGGACAATAAAAACTATTAAAGAAGAAGAAGAAGAATATAACCGGAGTGAGTGCGTTGCCGAATACGCTCTGACGGTACTGTACTTTCGACGAGAGTTTCGCGTGAGTGAGAGCGGTAATAACATATCCATAGCTATTAGCATGCTAGAAAGTTTGATGGTAAAAAGTGAAACAAAGCGACACACTCACAATGCCAATTTAATGGAATATTCCAGTCGCTCCGGCAGATCGTGAGAAATGAAGTAAAGGGCAGGAGAATTGTCAATGAACTCTTTCTCGCCCATCTCAATTTTATATTTTATGAACAGTAAATTTTGCATTTAAAAATTGGTCCAATGACTGCTTCTCTTGAGTCTAATTACGTAATATGAGAAAACACTGACAATGATGTTACTTTAAAACTAATCTCTCTCACTGTTAAATGTCTGCATAATACATGTTTAGTTATTTTACTAGAAAGAGTTTACTATTTCTCAATTAAATAGTTATACATCAATACATCAAAGTATAGTGTATGAAGAGAATGTCACATTGAGATAAAGTCCTGAGCATTACAATGGTAACTCTGAAAATATCAACTGGCATTTACTGGGAAATGTCACACTAATTTTCCTGGGAGATTTTGTTGTACTAAAGTCTTAATTATTTTATCTGAAATAACGTAGTAAAACTGATATTATTTAGCGTAACAGTATGTGTAAGAATATTGATATTTTCTTTTGTTGCAGTTTCTTTTGAAATCAACTAAAAAAGGGAAAAACTGCTAAAACATAACGATCAATAAGTACGCCCCATTTTACCTAAATTTTTAAAAGGTTAAAAAAGATATATGACCAACCCACATAATCAATTACAGGTAACTGCTAATAACTTTGTCTCTTTAAAAAGAAAACAAAATTATCATTAATTAGAAGAAACGAGATAAATCACGCGATGTGAGCATACTAACTTACACAAAATTAATATTCCACGTTACCTATGGATCACTGAGGGCCATCTCTAGCACGTAATCACGATTCATCAAAGAGCCGTTGGGAATTTCCAAAGTCTTTTAAACAGAAAGCAATATTCCATTACCTCCCATAAATGGTCTACTTTCGAACAGAAAACTTATCTTTTTAATACTATTTAGTACAAAATCAATATTGAGAACCTGTACGAATAATTCATTATTTGAGATGTTTGTACACTTGTCATCTTTTTATTCGTTAGGAAAACTATATAACACTATTGCTTTCTTAATATATAAATATTAATTAATGACTTTTGAAAATTATATCACATTTCTCTTGAATTATCCTATTTGATTTTCCTTTGCGTTATAATTAATATTAAATTTATGAATTGGAATCTACTCCACAAAAATGCACTTTTCGCCGCCACCAAAACATTTCAAATAACTTCTGTGGAAATTGAAATGCATTTGAAAGAAAATTGCTACCTACCTGATATTGGTAGTTTTGGATGTGATTTTGAATACTTTTTACGTATTTTCACACAATGAATAGCATTATATGTTCCCCACATCTATGTGACAGGAGATCAGCACTGTAATGCATTAATTACAACACAGCGGAAACGAAGTGTTATTAAAACACCAAGATTTCTTCTAACTCCAAAAGGACAAACATTAGAATAAGGCATAAGTTTACAATTGTTCCAAATATTGTGTTGCTTTCCATATTGAGTCATTATGTATTAAAAAATCATAATTTCACGCTTCCTTTACTGGAGCATGAGTGAACATCCTCCAAATAAATTATCTTTTGAATAAATTATTTCAGAAGGTTTCGCTCAACATCCAAATTGTTCGCCTAGACACGGTTGAAAAGCTCTCCGATACGAGTGTGTGTGTGTGTGTGTGTGTGTGTGTGTCTGTCAGAGCTGTGCCGTAGACTCTGATGTTACGTCTACCCGTGTTTTCTACACATAATCTACATGTAGTCTACATGACTCTTTTTACGTCGACAACGTAATGTGTGTAGACTATTTTCTTTTCCCCGTCACATAATAAAAAATAATTTATAATAACTACTAATAGTAGAAGCATGTTGAAATGTAATATTAGAAATTTTATTTTCGATTCAATAAGTCAAACAAAATATACCACACCTGATGAAGAAATGTCAACCTCCGTAACCATCTCATTAAAAAAAAGCTGATATTGTATTAAATAATAATGTTGGCAATGACAACGTCTTTAATTATTTTATGAAAAATGCCAAATATATCACACCACAACACCTATACCATCTCATTAAACCAGTAGGAACTTGTTTCAGCTTGCATGTGAGACCAATATGCATCCGACTCCTTCCCTCCATGTGCAGCGTCACCAACACAGTGCGCAGAAATATTGTGCAGATCCCTGATCGTGTCGCTAACCTTTTCGCTCCCCGCAAAAGAGACGGACCAAATAAGTGTATCACAGGAGTGGATGGCATTTTCCAATGAAGTCTGTCAACCGCCTCATAAATATTTTTGAAGCAAAACAATGTTAACTTGAAATTTAAACATGTTTAGTCTTAATGGTAGAACTCCTACGGATGTGATTCAATCAATATGTAGTATTGTTTTGGATAAATTGAGTATAATCATTAAACCCAATTTATTAATATTTAATTATTAATAATAAATGTGGGCTTTTGGGGCGGAGCGTGGATCTCGTGGATTCGCCCCTGCCCCAGAAAAACGTTCAGATTACATTGGCCTACGTAGATTACCTTAGTCTACGCACCGTACGTTGTCTACGCGTCGTTTGCGTGTAGACGTAGACTAGCGTTCTGTACGCTTAGACGCTCGTCGCTGGTGTTTGTGCGCAGCTGTGGGAGCGGCCGCCCGAGGTGGACGTGGGCTGCCAGACGGAGCTGTTCCTGGACCGCCCCGAGTCGCCGCTCTACCTGCCGGCCAAGACGGGCAAGGACGCGGAGACGCAGATCTACCCCGGCGACGTAAGGGCGAGAGCGCGGCAGCGCGTTCCTGGGCGTTGGGTGCTCTGCGGTTGCTTCTGCTGTGCACAATGGCCGTTGCATTCAGTCGAGAGGAATTTAATTGCGTCGTGTTTCAATACTTCACGTCAATATATAATTATCACCATTACCGACATCTTATTGGACACAATTACGCTCGGAGAACGTATTCCTCTGCCCTAAAGGAATCCAAATTGGGACCATGTTACTGAATAACAATGCATTTTAATAATTATACATTTGTTCAAAGAATAGGTTGTCCCGAACGGGTTTCGAGCCAGAGCCTTCTGGTTTTCGCCCAGCGGTTCTAACCACTAAGCTACCAAGACAACCACGCCTTTGAATAGTTTTCATGAAAACCGAACCCTATTCGGGGCGTCCAATTCTTTGAACAATTTTAATTACTCGCATCAATAGTTTATCATAATTGTTATGAGCAATGTGTGCCTTAGAACACTTTGCGTTGAGCCAGGGCAGCCTGTAGTTTCATTTGCTTTACTCAACAACTATTTTCCGGCATCAGTCGGAAACAAATTGAACTGTAGCATATTTCATTACTTCACCTCAATAGTTGATTGTAATTGTTATCATCGAAGTGTACCTTACAACATTTTAGTTGAGGGAGGAAAGAGCTCTAACTGATTTGTACATAAAGCAATTAATTTTCCCTGAAATCAGAAACACAAAATTTCATTTAACTTACTGTCTATTTATTTAAAAGAACTTTTCGTAATTAGTTCACACTTGTCTGTATTCAAGATTTTTTTTGCCCTATTAATATACGTCATAACAGGAACTATAGATTTAATGTTATTCCATAATCAATTCTAACAAACGATTCGCATCCATTTCCATCTATTATCATTCAAGATGAAGATAAATTTCCTGTTTTCAGTTCTTTCAAGTATCTACAATTAATATCATTAAATACACAGGTAGTAAACAACAAATATAAAATTTGTGAAAGAGTAAAATTCGAAACTTACATTTATGTCCCATATTTTATGATGAATGATTGAAACACTAACTGTAATCTAAACTCTTTCAGAAAATCGTTAGGTAGTTTGGCTTGTATTGATTCCCTCACAAAACGAAGGGATTCCCAGTACAACCATTCCGTTCTTTGATTCGCGCGATGTTTTCAAGTTAGACAATACTTCTCGTATTCCAATTCACCGAATATTGTTTGCTGTGTCACGAAATTATTTTCACACATATGTTGTTGTGTACTTATGATTCGGAAGTAAGCGAGAGGAAAAGATGAAATATTGGCTCCTCATACATTTTGTTTCGATATGAAGTTTTTATTATTTCTTCTCCGTTCACGATTCTTTTCGTATGATTCAACATTAACTTGTATTTGTGTTTCAATTTGGTCTTGTTTCTTTTAATGGCCAAAAGTTTAATACTCCGTGCGCGAAAAATGTTTTCTCATACTTGTTTTACGTGTACCGGAAACAGCTTTTGTTTCATTCCAAATGTTCGCACATGACTTGTAAAAAAAGTATACGAATCGCGCAGGCGAAGTGATTAATTTCTCCTCTGTTTGCTATACATATGTAAAGGGCTTCTTGCCATAATATAAGCCAAATTGACTTGTCACCGAGGGATATATTTTTTCAAGAAGGGGAAATTTTCATTTTCAGTCTTGTAGTTCAGGATAGGATTGAATGGATTTCGGACCGTCTAATTTAGGGAGAAATGCCATTACTGAACAGGGCATTTGTCGTCACAATGGCGAAGCGACTTAAAATTATATTATTTATAATAAAATATAATATTATTGACACGTAGAACTAGAAAACGAGCGTAAATGAAGACACGTCACTTTGGCAAAGAGCAATGAAATTACTTCCAAAGACTTTTATACTGTTTTCACGATTATACATTATATATTTCTACTTCCTTGTTAGGTTTCTATGGTGTATTCAAAGAAGTGGATAAACTAGAAGGATAAAGGACAATTTAACAGAAAACAGCAAAGAAAATGCCTTTTTTCGGCATAATTTCCAGATTTTATTTTTTAATTAATGTAATCTACATTATTCATATTCCTTTATTTGATTACTTCAATTCTATCCGCGCAAGTTTTCTTGATTACTGGCTTCTCTAGTTGTGTGAGTTGAGGAGTGGGAAGTTGGGTTATTTTGACTAAAGGAATTTTGCATCAAATTTGTAGATCCTTTTTCGATGCGTAATATTTTCTATTACACGGGAGCGAAAATTTATGGTTATGAGACTTTGTGTACACCGCTCATTGCTTTCATTTATTCTTAATTTAACTAATGTTGGTAAAGAAGTGGGGAGTATGTATTCGGGCTCAAGAAAACGTGCGCATATAATACATACTACGCAGTTTCATGACAAGCGTGACTAGCTTTATGTGTGTGCGAGAGGCAAGTGCTGAGTCGCGCACGCGGCGTGCGCAGCTGTTCGACTTCGACGTGGAGGTGGTGCCGATCCTGGAGGTGCTGGTGGGCAAGACGATCCAGCAGGCCATGATGGAGGTGCTGGAGGAGGAGGAGCTGGCGGCGCTGCGCGAGCAGCAGCGGCGCTTCCTGGAGCTGCGCGCGGCGGAGGAGGCCGAGCGCCACCGCCTGGAGGAGCAGGAGCGGCGCCTGCGCGAGGAGAAGGAGGCGCGCGTCGCCGAGTTCGCCGAGGCGTCGCGCCAGAACAAGGACACGCAGGAGCGCGTGGCCGCCGCCGTGCTCACGCAGGGCTACCTCCAGGACCTGCTGCCGTCCGTGCTGGAGGGCCTGCGCGAGTCCGGCTACCTGCTCGACGACGTCCGAGAGGGTGAGCCAGCCAGCCAGCCTCTACACTGCCATTTACACAAAACAGGTATCAGCTGTTTACGGTTTCATCCAATCGAGAGATTGAACGTCACCATAGTGAGGTGACGTTCAAGTTCCCAATTGGATAGCAAGCTCCCCATGAAACTGTCAACTTCTGATACCTGCCTGGGACAGAGTTGCAAAAAGCACAGTGTTGTAGGGTTCGACTACAGACGGTGGTGGGGTTTGCAACACTTGCTGGATAGCTAGGTCGATTTCAGGCGCAGTCAGAGGAAATATTCAAGCAGCTAGCTGCTCTGATCGGTAGTCGTGAATACAATTATGTCCAATTTACGTTTCAAAATGCACAAAAAATAACTGAAAGTAGATCAAATCAAAGGGGTTATGTTATAGAGCATACGCGGTTTATTGCGCATTAACACAGCGATACCGCCTCCCAAAATACATGAGCCGCGGTTTATTATTGGGTAGTAGGGAGGGGCGGTAATAAAAAGCGATAATTTTTTTGAGATGCATCGCTCTGGAGTATTTCATATGTTAAACACTAAACACTATAGTTAAACACTATTCGTTTTAATTTTTCAAGTCAAATAGCCTATGCAAATTTACGAGAATATTTATGTTATGGAAAATGTGATGTACGTTTTACACTTCCAAGATCAAGTCCTATTGGATGTATTGAATGATACAATCTTCGATGATGAAAAGAAAGTACTAGGCCTATCACAAGAAGAAACTACTATAATGAGCAAAAGTTACAAAACACTATCGCACAATAAAAAAGAAGAAGAAGAAGCATTATGTCAGTCAATGAAGAAAATAAGGCTTCTTAACATTGACATGCCACTCAAAAACTGCTCTTGTATATAAAAGAAGGCTAAAAAATGACCTTTAACTTCAACCGTGAAGAAAAATTGCTCGATAAAGGACACGTGAAATGAGGCTACCAAAAGCATGACGTATAGGTCGGGAACTCGTTATCTCACAATAAATCCTTGTTTCTCTTCACTCTCCAAACAAGATCTTCAATTTTCGGGAAGTTAAATGATGTGCAGAATTATACTAATAAATATGAAGTTCTATTGCCTACAACAAGGCACTAACTAAAATTTCGATTCACTATTGAGACAAAATTAATAAAAGAGAAAATAATACAAAATTCTTAATTATTTACAAGCTATATTTGAGCATACAACATTGAATAAATGTTTTTTATTTCCCCTGATTTTGCAAATTACAAAGCCAAAGCCATTTTTTCTAATTAAATGTCACCACAAAAACGTATTGAATAAATCGCATTTACCACAATCTTGCACGTGTGCGCTGATAACAAAAAATGACAAATCGACATGACTAAGAAAGCGCTTACCTGCGGTCACAGCCTGAAAAATACAGCGACCAAGGAGCCCTTGAAAGCGAGCCCTTCGGGTCTCGTGTAAGAAGGGAGGTAGCTCCTTCCGTTCCCGCAGCGACCTTGGGGCGAGCGGCTGCTCCCCTATTATTCATCGGCCGGCATCGCCCAGGCCTCCTGAAATGAGCTCTCGCCCTCCCCTTCCT